CAAATCTGCTTTTTTTTTTTTTTAAATGCCACAAGGTATATGCCTGTGCAGGAGAAAAATTTAAAGAGAGAAAGCACCCCTAGCAGAGGGCCTGGTTACACTTCGATCCTTTTTCCTCCAACCTTCTATACTGTTAGGGTCCTGGGCACACACATTTACAGCACGTCTTCCAAACCGCCAGGACTGGGACTTGAACCCTAGTTGGCGGTATAGGATCCAGCTCCCCTGTGTAGCATGTAACTTTTATGCTGTAGGGGCAGTTCGTCACAACAAATCTTTTTCTTTTTTTTAAATGCCAGAGTGTTTTTCCATCTTGGCAGGATTTGGGGAGCATGTGTACAACTGCTTGGCATGTCTCAAGCCTTCAGGGCCACAATTCAGACCTCGCTCAGCCCCACTGCATAGCTCCCACTGCACAGCGTGTAACTGCGCCTAGAGCCAGCCCTCCCTCGGAACTTGAACCATGGTGCCACTGCCACTTCTGAGTCCTCCAGCCTGTAGGCTTCCTGCGCCTCCAGGAAAGTGCAGGGGTTTGGGCCCCTCACCCTGGCTTTCTCCACTTGTATTTTGGGTCCTATTCTTTGCACATTCCTGTACTCCTCTCTTTTATGAATTTCTCTCCCTCCGCTGGCTTATAGTCGTTGGCCTGTGGCAGGCTCTGTCACCCATCTTTAAACACATTCTCCCTCAGCCCAGACCCCTCTAGGTGCCACCCATTTCCCTGTCCCACCCCTGCTCTGCGTAGCCCTCCCAGTTCGGGCTTCGGTGCTACCATCTGTGACTGCAGCCCCAGCCTCCACCCCATGGCACCCTGAAAGGCCTTGTTCAAAATACAGATCTGCTCCTGGCCCTCCTTGCAGAAAACTGCTGGGTCTTCCAGTAGCACTCGGGTGGAATTCTTGGCTTCCCGCCCAGGCTGGCCACGTTTGGGTTCGGCTCCTGTCTCATCTCTAGCTAACACTTGTTTGTTCACCCTGCTCAGACTCGGGCTCACTCCTGGGCCTTGCACACCCAGGTTCTTTCTCCCCTGCTTCCGAGCCTTGATGTTAGCCATTCTTTTTAAACCGCCTGGACTTCTCTACCCAGGGTCACAGTGTAGCTGCCTCTTCACTCAGGGCCAGGACACCCCCGAGCATGCTGGCTGAGACTCGTATTCTCACCTCTGCTTGACCCTGCTGCCTTCCAAAGCTCTGGGTGCCAACCACGATGACCTCCCCTGCTGTAACGTCACCTCTATGAGGACAGATACCCTATCTTCTCCCTTTCATAGCCTCAAAGCCCAGTTGGTGCTGACCAGATGGGTGTTGTGTGCACGAAAGGGGCCTAGGGACAATGTCCACATCTAGAGTGAGCAGGCCAGCTGGAAAAAGCCAAGTGGCTAGAGGTGGCCTCGCCTCACACACAGCTCTGGAAGGGGCAGCGGTGCTTTGTCCTCACTGGACAGAGTTGTGGTGGCACCCCTCCTGGGCGAGAGGGGCCTGGGTTTCCGAGGACGCACCCTTGAGAGCCTAGCACTGGAGACAGCCGGCTGAGCCTTGGTCCCATCAGATAAAGCCATCCATCTGGGCAGGCCATTGGGTGGGGCGGAAGTGCCGTCACCTTAATCTGTGACTCGGTTCCTTCCTACTTGGCTTCCCAGCCCTGTTACCTCCCGTGAGCTCTCAGGGCCTCCCTTTGTCCCCTCGCATTCCCACGACTGGAACTGCCTCCTCCTTTCCTGCAAGGGTGACTTTCTCCCCCTAGCTTGGGTAATGTTACTCTGGAAGCTAGGAAGGCCCACTCTTCCTTATAATGCTTGCTTGGAGCCAGCAGAGCCAGCAAGGCCTTTAGGCAGACCTGCCCCTCCCTGCTTCTTGGGGTTATAAGAACAAAGGGGAAGTGACCTGCAGGAAGTAGACGGGATGTGGGAACTACTTGAAAGTGAGTGTGAGGGCCAACAGGTGGCATGGAGGTTAAGGCCGCTGGATCCCATATGGCTGACACCGAGGTTTGAGTCCCAGACCTAGCAGCCTGAAAAACACACTGGGCATGTGTGTGTGCGTGCGTGCCCAAAATCCTTAGAGGAGAATGAAGGAGAAGGGATTGTGGTGTGGCTATCCTCCCTGGAGGTGATTTCTCACTTTCTCTCTGTGGCTCCGTTGAGTGCACACACCCTGTGGCAAAAAACAAACAAACAAAAACAAAAACAAAAAAAGTGAGTATGAAACTGATCAGGCCCCTCAGAAGTAGAAATAGATTTTCTTTGAGTGAACTATAATGTTTACCAGGTAAAAAGAAATATGCCTTGGATTGGCCCTGTGGCCTACTGATTAGGGGCACTAGCTTCCACATGGCTGATCACAGTTCGAATCCCAGCCCTGGTGGTTTAAAAAGAACATGCCAGGTGCATGTGCATAACCAAAATCTCACCTGGTGGTTTAAAAAGAACATGCCAGGTGCGTGTGCATAACCAAAATCTCAAAAGCGGGGAAGATAGAGGGGAAGGGACTGCAGTGTGATCACATCCCTTCTGGGGTGATTTTCCTCTTTCCCCCTCTCTCTCTGGCAAGTGCATGTGCCCTCTGGCCAAAATAAAGAGAAGAAAGAAAAAGAAAGACAGATGCCCCAGAGTCCCCGGTAATTTACACAATGAGCTGAGCTTATGCTCTCGTCCCTCCCCATCGACAGGTACTTTTTGCACGCTGCAGTTCCGGTTCCGCAGCTCCCACATCGTGACAGCCTTCATTGTTCAGTTTCTGCGAGACATGGTCACAAGCAGCACACAAGACAGAAAAGATCCAGGTGTCCTAAGCGCTCTTTGTCTTGAGTGCTTTACCCAGAACGGCCCTGCTGATAACATCAGACCCTCCCAGAGAATGCCCAGCACCAAGAAAACAGCACCACCCGCTGAGAAAACACCACCATCCGCCAAAGATACATCATAAAGACTTTCCTGGAAAGACCCTGGATTCCTCCTCCGCCTCTCCTGTCACCTTTCCCACCTGTTCCAGAGTCTCGCTTGCTCCTCACTCGTGGAGACAGTACTTTTTTTCTTTGTAGAGGTTTTTGTCTTAGAGTGTGTGCACTTGCCAGAGACAGACAGACAGACAGAAACAGTGAGAGGGAAAATGAGAAATCACCCCCCAGGGGGACTGGCCATGCCACAATCCCTTCTCCTCCATTCACTTCCCAGGATCTCGGTGGTGAGTCTCAAGTCACAGCGTCTGGGACCGGAACAGTGGTTGGCCAAGTGGCCGTCCAGTGATGTAACCTGTACGCCACCTGCTGGCCCCTGTGGGAACAGTACTTTAAGAGTCAGATCACAGCTCTCCTGGTTGATGTTCCCTGTAATAAAACCCTCCTCCGTGCAAGTTCTTGTCTCGGCTAGTGGCTTCCTGTGTGATGAGTGGTCTGGCCTGGTTCATATAGTTGGCCACGAAACTACAATGTCATGAAAGTTTTTCAAGAATGTTTAGAAACCAAGAGCATTAAATAAAGTGTCTTAGAAGAGGACAAGAAGCCAGCAGATGGTGTAATGGTTATGTCACTGGATGCCCATGTAGTCGACCGCGGTTCGCGTCCTGGACCCAATGACTTAAAACACACCAGGCACATGAGCATACATGCCCAAGTTCCCGAGGAGAGGATAGAGGAGATGGGACTGCTGTGTAGCCATCCCCCCGGGGGGTGATTTCTCACTTTCTGCCTCTCTGGTAAGCGCATGTGCCCTATAGCAAAAATCTCTCTAAAAAAAAAGAAGAGAGAGAAAGAGAGAGAAGAAGTTGAGTCATATTTTAAAATCTAAACAGATGGAGGCCGGTAGGTGGCATGGTGGTTGGGTTGCCAGACTCCCACGTGGCTGGCCTTGGTTTGAGTCCTGGACCTGGTAACTTGCTTTCCTCACCTCCCCTTTGCTCCCGTCTCTCTCTGGTCAATTTTTCTTTTCTTTTCTTTTTTTGGGGGGAGAGGTTTTTGCTATAGGGCGTGTGCGCTCACCAGAAAGACAGAGAGACAGTGAGAAATCACTCCCCAGGGGGATGGCCACGCCACAATCTCTTCCCTCCATTCTCCTCTCGGGACCTTGGGAGAAGGGAAACACGGAAGCCATGTTGGCTGATGTTCCTGAGGGTAAACCCCACTGACTGCGGTGACGACTGAGGCCCTGCTAGCCTTTCCAGGCCTTTATGTACAGGCCACTATTCCTTACGACGGCTGCAGAGTAGCTGGCCCACCCCACTTACAGCTGTGCAAACTGAGGCTCCCGGGGGGCCGTTACCTGCCCAGGGCAACCCAAAGGGCAGAGCTGGGATGCAGCCCCAGGTCACCTGGCCGGAATCCTGCATCATTCCTGGTCTCTTTCCTGGTCTCCCGGGCCAGTGGCAGTGTTAGTGGGGGGGATGGCCAGCACGTGGCGGGGAGGGCTGGGGCCAGCTGTGAGCAGCCCAGGGCAGTGGGAACTGCCCTCTCCCAGCCCCTCTGGGGCCCGGCTCCAACTTTCTCTTGTGTGGCCCAAGACAGTGGAGCCTTGCCAAGTGTTGTGGCCCCCAGACTCACTCAAGCCAAGCTCTCCATGGTTCCCTTATTTTATCTCCAAAATGCCCTCTGAATGCCCAACCCCAAGGCTCCAGGTGAACATGAGTGGGTGGGCGGTGACACGGGGGTTCTACCTGCCACCGCTACAGGGCAGGCTTGGTTGTCCCAAGAGACAGGTAGCTAGAGCTTCCTCCATGCACAGTGCCCTGGGAGCCCAGCTTCCTACTCCTGCTCCTTGCTGCGGTGGAGCCATCCCACAGCCACTTGACAGGGGACTTCCCCAGACTCCGACAGGGGACTTCCTCCAGATTCCGGCCCGTGGGACAGGACTGCTCTTGCTTTCTTTCCTCCTCTGGTGCTGATTGGAGCCCAGCGGGGCTTCCAATGGGTGGGTCAGGGACTCCCCTCCTGCTTTCAGATGAGCACATAGCGGGGAACGCTGCCCCACCTCAGGAACCCCTGCACCCAAGTCAGAAAGGGGAAGGCAGCCTCGACTTCCCGCACAGCTGTGGCCTGGGGGAACCCCCAAAAAGGGCTCCCACAATCTGGCAGTGAAATGAGCTTCTTGCAGCCAGCTCCAGCCCCCACCCTACCCCCAACACACACATCGCCTCTTGGCCCTGAGTGACTGAGCAGGCCCCACGCTGGCTTGGGCCAGCCAAACTGGTCCAAGCCTCCTGCCGCCCCAGGCTGCACGTCTGCCCACTGGTCCTGGAAGGGCGGGGTGGTTGTGGTGTTGGTGCAGGCAGCCAGCCCAGGACTCTAGGCCTCATGCTACCTGTGACTCTACACACACACTTGGGGTCTTCAAACATTGGTCCTCAGGCCCCAGCTGTGTCCTGAAGTCTACACTGTACAACGAAAACACACACACACACACACAACACACACATACTCCATCCTGTCCAGACGTGACAACTCCAGATTGCACCAAAGCGCGATCATCTCTGAGAAGCAAGAGCAGAGAAAGGGGCCCCCATCCTTGCAGCCAAGTGGCAGCCCACCTAGGTGTCCCTTTGACATCAGATCAGAGACCCAGCATATGCACCTCTGGGTAGAAACAGAAAGGGATGGATTGTGAGCTCACCCTAGGACCTTCTGTGGCTCCCAGCTCCTTCCTGCTCAGATGCACCCATAGGCCTTCCTGTCCCCAACCTGGGCTAGCCTCTCTGCCCAGCATAGCGTGGCCACCAGAGGGGGCACTGCTCCTCTGAACTTGCCACAAATCCATCTCTGCCGGTCCCCGCATTCACTTCTTAATGAACATTCTCCTGAGAGGCTGCTGTCTCTCAGGACCTCACCGGAGGCCAGAAACAACCAAGTCTGCAGATTCTCTGCCCCCGAGGTCTCTCCAGCCCAGTAGGTGAGGGAGGGAGATACCTGAGCCCAGCATATGGCACCGGGGAGACCGAGGCTGGGGGGAGCTGCTGCTCGCATTCTGGGGGAGGTAGAAGAGGGGAGAACCCTGCGCCTGCTCTCTGGGAAGGCGTGAAATCATTCAGGCACTGCATCTGGCTCCCCTGGAAAGATGCCCTGAACAAAGCCATCCTTACTGGCATCCCTCTGACCTGCTGTTCTCGTGGCAATCCTCCCCAAACCACCTCTGCTCCTCCTCATTCACAGAGGCCAGGAAAACTCGCTTCTCTGGTCCCGCCCTCACCTCCAGCGAGCTCAGGGTCAGCCGTGGCCTTCCGAGGTATTTATTGAGTGCCTGCTCTGCCCAGGTGTAAGGGGCAGGGCGGTTGCCCAGCGAGGGTGGGACGTGGCGTCCAGGAGAGGCCGGGCGTGCAGCACTGGGCTGGCTATTCAGCTGCAGGTCCCCTGCAGAAGTTCTGGTTATAGAAGTGGCGGTTGTCCCTGGTCAAGGCCGTGCCCAGCTGGGCCCAGAACCTGCCCTGACCGCCCGGCTGGTGCGGCCAGAGGAGCACGCTGTGGCGGCAGAGGCGCTGGCGCAGCCGCACGTAGCGGGAGCGGCGGGCGTCAGGGCGCAGGATCACCAGCACCACCACGTCCATGCGGTCCTCTAGCAGGCGCTGCTGGGCCAGCAGGAAGCCGGCGCGCAGGAGGCCGCTCACCCGGTCGGTGTGGGCCAGCACGAACAGCGTCTTGTGGCCGGGCGGCGGCCCGGGGTTTTTTCGAAGAGCGTTTTGCCGGGTAGCCAGTCCCGCTCCTCCAGGCACAGGCGGAGTGCGCGGCGCCCGCGGCGCTCCTCCAACCGGCCCCGCAGCTCGTTGTACACCCAGTCGGCCACCGCGCTCTGCGCCTTGTCGAAGACCACGAAGGCGTCATAGGGCAGGGCATCAGCCCCTCGCAACCCCCACCGGGGAAGCCAGGCCTGGCACAGGTAGAAGCAGTACCAGAGGTCCCAGCCGCAGAGGTGGTGCAGCACAGGCACGACCAGGCCCAGGGCCACTACCAGCAGCGATAGGCCAAAGCAGTCCCAGGAGAGGGCCTCGTCCAGGCAGAGGCGCAGATCCTGCTGGAAGATGCTGCGACCCTGCAGCTGGCCGGGACCGCCGCAGCTCACGCGGCCAGGCAGGCCAGGCACCTTGTTCTGCAACTCCAGCAGGAAGTCCACAAAGACCGCCCCGCAGGCGCAGTGCAGAGGGTTGGCGGTCACATCCAGGATTTTCAGGTTATTCGCCAGGGACCCAAACCAGGAGGGCTCTATGGTCATGAGGAAGTTGTCGCTAAGGTTGAGCACTTGCAGGTTCTGAGCCAGAGCAAAGAAGCCGGGGACCACGAAGCTGATGCTGTTGCTGCTGAGGTCCAGTGTGTGGAGCTTGGTGCCGTTAGGCAGGCTGCCGTTGGCCAGGGCCTTCAGCTGGGTCCCCGCCCGGGCCAGGTCTTTCAG